TCTGATCCAGCCTTCTCATGGGAAACGTGATTCCTAGAGAACTTCCACTAAATGCCTTAGTTCAGCCAAAATGCCATCCTTAGTTCACCCAAAATGTCATTTTATGTTGTCTTTATGTTGTTTTATGATGTCGTTCTTATAAAATTTTATTGAACTACATTTTAATTCTATGTTTGACTGGGCTTGGTCACATGTAAGCCACTCCGAGACCCTTCAGGGAGATAGTGGCGGGATACAAAAATAAAGTTATCATCATCATCCTTATCCTTAAACTAAAACAGCCCATATTGTTGTCCTCTAGATCAGTGGTTCCCAACCATTTTTTGACCAAGGAGCACTTGACCAGGGACCACCTGACCAGGAACCACTCTCCAAAAGGGTTACAAACCAATTTTTGGTCAACTTTAGATTTGGACTGGGGTGCTGTTTCAAAAACCTTGCATTGGATAGATCACATCAGCTCTACTTTCTGATGCAGAACATATGCCATGGTCAGCAACAGGTGATGTGAAAGGAATGGAAATTAAATAAATAAATAAAGCAGAGGGAGACTCACAGACCATATTTTCGTCCTCACTGCCCATTGATGGTCCACAGCCCATAGGTTAAGAACCACTGCTCTAGAGGAATGAAACTTTAAAACTTACTGTCCACAGTCAGTGTTAGTGTTGGGTACTTGTGATTTGTTGCGTTGGGAAGTGTAGCTCAACACATATGGAGGCATCAGATCAAGGAAGGTTACCCTAAAGCAGTGGTTCTCAACCTGTGGATCCCCAGGTGTTTTGGCCTTCAACTCTCAGAAATCCTAACAGTTGGTAAACTGGCTGAGATTTCTGGAAGTTGTAGGCCAAAACACCTGGGGACCCACAGGTTGAGAACCACTGCCCTAAACGCCCTCAAAATATTATTCCTTGTTATATTATATTATATTATATTATATTATATTACTTAACCATAAAGCTACCTCAGAAGTGGACCCTGCTTCTGTAATTTTGATAACACAATGACACAAAGAAATCAAGTATATGATGCTATCCTGCCACAAAGATAAAGAAACAGGAGTAATAATCATTGACAGCACCGCATACATATTTTGCTAAGTTATACTAAAATAGTCACTATACTGCAATACAAAACTAACCGTAGTGACTATTATTATTTCATTCCTACTGAAGAAAACATGTTGTTCTTTTTGCATGTGACAGGCTAAGGACCAGAACTTAGTCAAAACCCCTCCCTTTCAAAAGGAAAACTCATCTCTTAAAGAATAATTCCCTTTACCTGGGTGCAGCAATCCACCCCTTGTTATATAGGTGCTTTTGAATGCAACAATCTGCTGTTCAAGGCTAATGAGAAATTCTCTTTGCAGAATTCTTTGGACATAGGTTAAAGCAATTTAAAATAATCTAGCTTCCAAGAGCTCAGAGAGCCATTTTCTGCTCTGATCAAGAGTTCACTTTCAAGAGGTGCCCCAAAACTCCTTTGAAGGTTCCCCTTCAACTATGTGGAAAACAGGTTAGATACTGAGGTCTAATATGGCATAAGATCTAAGGTACTAAGTCGGCATTTCTGGCACAGAGCGTACAGTGCTCCACCAGCACACAAGTCGTCCATCCCTGCTGTGATGTGGTTCTGTATACAGTCAGCTGGTCCAAGAAAAGCTCGGTAGGAGAGAGGCAGTCAGGAGTTCACACACAGATGGCTGATGTCTTCCATGTCAGGAAATCCTCTCTAAACTATCTGAATCCTATCTTTAGACTAGACTTGGCACATTGGATAGCGCCTTTAAAATTTAGACTTAAAAGGGAGCTGAACTATCACACCACTGACATGGAAGCATCAACTGCACTAATGCTATAATTAGGTTCACAATCTGTCTTGTTCTAGGGTAGAGATGTCACAAAAACCTCTTAGGAAAGTGCAAACCACTTGTGAGACCAATGTCACAAGTTGCTTTCCCCAAGCCACACCATCCCCACATCTGATACAAGATGCCTTCTCAATGTTTCGAGGCAAGATTTGCTCTAACTCCTCTTAAATAATGTTGCTAGGGGGTTGAGAAGCTAAAATCACCTATTTGTTGCTTTTTTGAAGCTATGCAAAATGCAAAAATGGCAGGTTTGAGAGATCACTGCAGTCCCAAGCATACCAGAAAGAAGTTAATCCAGGCCTAGGCAAACTTCAGCCCTCCAGGTGTTTTGGACTTCAACTCCCACAATTCCTAACAGCCTACCGGGTGTTAGGAATTGTGGGTGTTGAAGTCCACAACACCTGGAGGGACGAAATTTGCCCAGGCCTGAGTTAGTCAATGGATGAGATTGAGCTCACACGGTATGGCACTGTATTAGCAGTAGCCCACACACACAAAGTTATCAATAATTTTGTTAGAGAGGGCTTTTGAACATTCATGATTTGGTTTATGTATGTAAGGCATTAAATTTTGCTATTGTTTTTTGCTTTGAGTCCCCACCCCACCCCCACCCCCACCCCACCCCAGGAGTGAGAAAAGTGGTATATAAATATTATAAATAAATAAATAAAATTAAAGAGGATTTCATATTTCTTTTTTATTCTCGTTAATAAAATCTAACGTTTTATAGATTGACTTACAAAGACAGCTTTGACTCTTAATTTTAGATATTCTTGGGGACTCCACATCCAGCATGCTCCTCACCACCAGTCTCAGTGGTAAAAGAAACATCAGCCACACCCCAAAGGTTGCTAATTTCTGTCTTCTACCTTCACAGCACCCTAACCTTTAAAGCTGAACCTATTGCGTCCTCCTCTGAATGTGATTTTCCTGCTTCTTGGCTGAGTGCTGGACTGGATGGTCCACGAGGTCTCTTCCAACTCTATGATTCTATTACTGGGCCCAGGTGTATATTTGGACAACAGCACCTGCCACCACTATTGCAATAATCCAAATTCCATTCAAATTTCAGAGCGAGAACACACAACATCACAATAAGAAACGAGGAAACACCCCAGGTCTATCCTTGGCAATATACATGGCAGAGAAGTTCAGAGAACACAGGGATTCCATATTATAGATGACACAGCTAGCTGGAGGGAGAGGAGAAGAACAGACAAATACTACAACTCACACCTTGGAATGCATTGCTTGGCATTCAATCCTCCATCTCCCCCCTCGCCCAAAGCCTCACACTGTGTTTACACATCTTTTGGGAAGCCACCAATCCTCCAAATAAACACATGGAAAGCAAATGCATAGAGAGGAAAGGGGATTTTCTTAGTACCTCTACCAACAGGAAGCTGACATGTTACAGATATATACAGGTATAAATATACAGATTGCATTCTGCTACCTAGGCCCAGAGGATGTTAGATGAAGACAAAGCCTCCTTCCCTCCCTGTACACAGGCCCAATAACCCTGTTTAGATGTAGCAATCTATCTAATATCGTGCTATTAGATCTCAGGACACTTATTGGTAGAAGGATAATGAATCTGTTCATGCATGACATGGGTGAGGAAGAGAGGCTGGGGCACAGCAGAGCTATGGGCAGTTTGAAATAAGGACAGCTCCCAAATATGGCATCTCCATCACCACACACACACACTTTTGCAGCTAAAGACTTAGGTTAGGGGATGAAGTCAACGGATGATAAGGTCCCACCAGTGGATAGGTACAGCCATTTCTGGGAGACCAGACATGCCATTGATTGCATTTATTGTATCCCCCATGGCATCTCTTCAAAACATGCCTTAAATCCACCACCATGCTGTACACACATATTGGTAAGGTAAGAGGAGGGGGAGATTGAAAGGATTGGAAAGGAGGGGGGACAACTATAGAGACCCAGATGGAGAATTCCTGCAGGTGGTTGAGGGAACCAGGCACAAACCAGCCACCAAGGCCCAGGGTGTGGACGTGCTTGTGCCAGGTGGGGGCAGCATGGCCTGTTCGAGGCTCCAGTGAGGGAAACCCCACCCTGAATGACCCTCCCAAAATAGGCTGGGCTGACTTGAGGGTCAGATGGGGTTTTCCCCTCAAAAAAAACCTTTCAAATTCTTCCAAACGTTTGCTTTAACATCAAAATAAAGCCAGAAGGCATGGCTGATGCAGCTTTTGGAGAGAACCCCAGAGGAGGCTAAGGGTTGGATTGTGGTTCAGGGGTCTCCTCACAGAGGAAGAGTTATCTCAGGAGTGAAGGAGAGGGAGGGAGGAAGAGGCACTTGAGGCTCTTCCACACAGCCCTATATCCCAAATTATCAAGGCAGGCAATCCTACATTATCAGAGTGTGGACTCAGGGCCCTTCTACACAGCCCTATATTCCAGAATATCAAGGCAGGCAATCCCACAATATCTGCTTTGAACTGGAGGCCCTTCCACACAGCCCTATATCCCAGAATATCAAGGCAGGCAATCCCACATTATCCGAGTGTGGACTCAGAGCCCTTCCACACAGCCCTATATCCCAGAATATCAAGGCAGGCAATCCCACAATATATGCTTTGAACTGGAGGCCCTTCCACACAGCCCTATTTCCCTAAATATCAAGGCAGGCAATCCCACATTATCCGAGTGTGGACTCATATAACCCAGGTCTAACTGTGGGATTTTTTGCCTTGATATTCTGGAATATAGGGCTGTGTGGAAGGGCCCTGGGTTATCTGAGTCCACACTGCCATATATTCCAGTTCAAATCAGATAATATGGAATTGATATCCTGGGATATAGGGCTGTGTGGAAGGGCCTTTGGATAGGGCCCGAGCGGGGCCTCAAGCCAAGCCAGGCAGCCCCAGAGCCCCTTTTCCCCTGCCCCCCCTTTCCCCCCCTGACCCCACCCCGCCTTGCATGGCCCATTCATAAAAGTCTCCCTCTGCTCCAGCCTCTCCTTCCTCCCTCCCTCGGTGGCTGGCAAGACCAGATCCAGCCCACCCTCCCGCGAGGAGAGAGAGAGAGAGAGAGTGAGCGAGTGAGTGAATGAATGAACCAGGGAGGGAGGGAGGGAGGGAGGGGCCGGCCTGGGGCTTACTTGAGCATGGCCTCTTCCTTCTCCTCCTCCTCCTTCTGCCGGTCCATCACGGCCAGGATGATGTTGCGCTCCTCCTCCGTCAAGTGGCTCAGGTCGGGCAGCTCCGGCATGGGGGGCGGCACGGCGGGGGGACGAGAGGCGCGCAGCCCCACCGAGCAGGAAGAAGAGGAAGAGGAAGACATGGTGGTGGTGGTGGTGGTGGTGGAGGGCTCCTCTCCTCTCTCCCCTCCTCCTCCTCCTCTTCCTCCTCCAACACCTTGGGACCCGGGCGCGACGCTAGCCAAGCACGCCGCCGCCACCTTCTCTTCTTCTTCTTCTTTTTCCTTCTCTTCTTCTTCTTCTTCTTCTTCCTCCTCCTCCTCCCGCTACACTGGAGCCCTGTGTTCATGGGCAGCGGCAGCCAGCAGCTCTGGGGAAGCAGCAGCAGGAGCAGCAGGAGCAGCAAGAAGAGGAGGAGGAGGAGGAGAGGCGGAGACCCGGGCGCCGTTCATGGTTGCTCCTCGCCTCCGCCCCAGAGCCGCCGTTGTTGCCCCCGGCTCTCTCCTCGCCCTTTGGCTTCGGGGCCTCAGGCGGATCCGGGGATGCCCCGCAGCCTCAGGCAGCCCAGCATCCTCCTTCCCTCTCCTCCTCCTCCTCTTCTTCTTCAAGGCTCCGGGAGGAGGAGAAGGCAAGGAAGGGAGCAGCAGCAGCAGCAGCAGGAGCCACGGGTGGAGCTCAGGTCCTTCGGCGCACTGTCAGGGCTGGAGGGGGAGAAAGGAGGGAGGGAAGGAAGGAAAGAAGGAAGGAAGGAGGATGCAAGGAAGGAAGGAAGGAAGGAAAGAAGGAGAGAAGGAAGGGAGGATAGAAGGAAAGAAGGAAGGGCGGATGCTGCCGCGGCTCCAATGCTCCACTGCTGCTGCTGCTGCTGGGAGCGAGCTACAGGGAGGGGAGGGAGGGAGGGAGGGAGGAAGGAGGGAACTGGGTGTCACTTAGGCGGAGTCCACACTGCTCCACTCCCGGGTGATGCTCAAGGCTCTCCTCTCTCTCTCTCTCCCTCCCTCTCTCTCTCACTCTCTCATATTACCCACCTTCTCTCTCTCTCTCTCTCTCTCTCTCCCCTTTCTCCGCTCTCTCTATCTGCTGTTTCTCCCCTCCTCTCTCTCTCTCTCTCGCCCTCTCCCTCTTTCCACACCACGCTGGAAATATACATAGACACCTTTCTCTCTCCCTCCCTTCCGCTCCCTCTTTCCACAGCATGCTGGAAATATACATAGACACCTTTCTCTCCCTCCCTCCCTCTCTCCACAGCAGCTGGAAATATACATACACACCTTTCACTCCCTCCCCCCTTCCCTCCCTCTCCCTCCCTCTCCACAGCACACTAAAAAATATACATGGCCACCTTTCTCTCCCTCCCTCTCTCCACAGCACACTAGAAAGATACATAGACACCTCTTCCTCCATCCATCCCTCTCTCCACAGCACACTGGAAATATACATAGACACCTTTCTCTTCCTCTATCCCCCTCTTTCTTTCCAAAGCATGCTGGAAATATGCATAGATACTTTTTTCTCTCTCTCTCCACAGTACGCTGGAAATATACATAGACACCTTTCTCTCCCTCCCTCCCTCCCTCCCTCCACAGCATGCTGGAAATATACATAGATACCCCTTTCTATCCCTCTCTGCACAGCACACTAGAATTATATATAAGCACCTCTCTCTCCCTCCCTCTCTTCCTCTCCCTCTCTCCACAGCACACTGGAAATATACATAGACACATTTTTCTCCCTCTCTCCCTCTCTCTCTTTTCACAGCATGCTGGAAATATACCATACTTTTCTTTCTCCCCCTCCCCCCCCTCTCTCCACAGTACACTGGAAATATACAAAGACATCTCTCCCTCCCTCTCTCCACAGCATGCTATACATAGTATACACAGATACCTTTCCCTCCCTCGCTCCCTCTCTCTCCCCACATCCTGCTGGAACGCTACATGGACACCTTTCTCTCCATCCCTTTCCCTGGGATCCTGTGTATTTCCTGGGGGATATGGGGAGAGTCATTTTTCCAAGGATATGGCTCCTCTTTCCAGGCAAGTAGCCCTGCTTCCCAGCCTGCCACAGAAAGGGAGGGACAGGGGGCGAGCAGGTTGGCCTCATCTTTGGATCGGAGTTCCCATGGGGTGTATCAGGGTGAGAGCCATCTCCTGGGCGGTTACCCAGAGGGAGTGTGCTCTCCACAAAACCCAGTCACAGGTTTTTCCTGGGGTTTAGAGGGAGGGCAAGGCTGGCGACCCTAAGGAGTCTGAGGCTAAACCAGGCATGGGCTACTTGCCTGGAAAGAGGAGCCATATCCTTGGAAAAATGACTCTCCCCATATCCCCCAGGAAATTCCTAACAGCCTTAGGCCCCTTCCTTTCTTTCCTTTCCTTTCCACTTAAGCAGGTGAGCGGGGAAGGAAAGGGCCTGAGACTGTTAGGAATTGGGGGACTTGAAGTCCAAACACCTGGAGGGCCAAATTCTGCACATATCTGGGCTAAATCGTGCTGCTCTGAGCACAATCCAAGATGCGGATGTGCATCCAAAAAATCAACAAGCCCCCTACTGAATCTGGGATGAATGAGGTTAGGATTCACATTGTAGGGAGTGCCCTTAATTTTTTAGTTCATTTTCTGTGTGCAAACATGGCAGATGCAGCAAATGATTGAAGCATCATGTATGGGAGCAGGCGTGGGAAATGTTGGTATGCTCAAGTCCTGCATTAGACAGTACTGCTTGGTGGTTCCTGTATCAGTGTATCTATCTACTCCAGTCTTTTGAAAGAGAGCTCTCCAGGGCATTGAACTTGTTTGAATACTCGTAATTCAGCACCATGGAAAGCTCCTTTGAAGGTTGGGTTGGAACTCCTTCTTCATTAGCCAGGGTCCACTGAAGCCATTAATTCCTCACCCTTTAGACCAGTGGTTCTCAACCTGTGGTCCGCAAGAACTAAAATATGGTCCGTGGCCACACCATTACTACATTGTTGCAACGAGACTTACTGGTCTCGTGAAATCCTCTTATGGTGCCAAGGCTTATTAAATATGGTTTTCTGTGGGTGAGCTGATGATGACTATTGGATGGCATATGTTCTGTATCAGAAACTAGAGCTGATGTGGTCTATCCAATGTAATTTTCTGAATCAGCACCCCAAATAACCAAACCGAATCTAAAGTTAACCAAAAACTGATTCGTAACCCTTTTAGTAGTAACGTTGGAGAGTGGTCCCTGGTCAAAGTGATCCCTGGTTAAGTAATCCCTGGTCAAAAAAGGTTGGGAACCACTGCTTTGGACTTAAGTAAATTTCAGCTCAATCCATAAGGCTTGTCTACATATTAGTGCCAGTGACATGAAGATAAAATGTATGTGTTTTTAAAATATATCTGTTATTGTGGAGCAATTTATAGAACTGATTCATGGATGTATTAATTATGTCAAACTCAGGAAAAATTCAGAATATGAATTAGATTGTATTCCTTCTTTTAAAAAATTAAATGTTAGCAGGCATGAAATAATAAGATATTTGTTCATCAGAACTGAATATTAGCATGCCAAGTTTGGTACTGAGATACCATTTTGTTAGAAATATCTCTGTGTATATATCAATTGGTGTGGAAAACCTTTTCCTGAGTGAATCACAAAGCTTTCATTTCCTTCTAGTACTTATGTATTCAGTTAAAGGTGCATCTCCAATCAAAATCATAAGCCCTGTACCTTGTCAGGTACCCTGCCCCAGAAATCCCACCCTAGATGGATATCATGTCACCAGAAGTCCTATTTGTGGGTGGGGCAACCATAGGAGGTCATATAAACACCACACGATCACACAATAGCCTTGTGGATCTGTCAGAAGGCATTTCAGAGCCCTGTGATCCATGTGGATGAAAAATGGTCTGAAAAAACCTTTCTTTGCCTCTCCCCAGATTGTCTCAGAAAGTCACGTGCCTCCTCTATGATCACATGGCTTCCACGTGGGCCTAGTTGGAAATATCCTATTGGTGTAGTTTCCATCATTTTTCCCAATTTGTTTAAAGGATGTAACAGGTGGAAATGGCCCTACAGGAGACATTTTCACAGCCCCCTACCTGGATTATCCCCTCTATCACCATGTAATGCCTCAGAAAACACATCCCTGGACAAAGGATTAATAGGAAGAAAGCTTAGAGGTTCATGCAGACATTTTGTTTGCCAGTTCATGTCCCGAGAAGACGTTGAGTCTTGAACTACTTCATCAAGGCCAACAAAGCCTGAAACTGTAGTGACAGGTGTGAAACTCTAAGCAGAAAACTTTATATAAGTTCTCATAATGCACTTCTTCATCAGGAAGCATGTGAATTTCCTAAACGTGAAACTACATGCTGGATACTATTTACCACCTGTAATGCAAGTAAAAATAAAAACACTAGTTCTTATTTTGGAGGAATTAGCTTCGTCTTGCAAAAAAGGGGTCCCAAAAAGAACATTCAGCATTCTTTATATTTTAGGAACCAGTAGCAGGGCTGCATAAAGCAAAACAAAAAAGTTGGTGAAGGATCTGTAAATATACTAATGCTTTGTGGACGATGATGTGTATAAGGCACACTCAGCTACACATGATTATTTGGTGGTGGATTTTGGTATCAAATGTATGTTTTAACAACAGCATTTTAAATCATTTTATTTAAAAATATTTTAGGAAGATGGCAGTACAGGTACAACCCACCCAAGCCATGTCATCATGGTTGGTCTTCTAGGCTTACACATTAATCGTGAAACAGTGAATATGTCATCAAGAAGAAAGACATCTTTAACAGGCTTTACTGTGAGATATACAGTTTATGGGGGTTTGAAGCATTGCCTAAATCACATATAGTATGAGTTATGGGTGATATAACTAGATCTCCTGGCCAAAGTTCACATGAGTGTTTCACCAGGACAAAATGTTTAATATCTAGAAAACTGTGCATGTTAAGTGGGGGAAACTTTTTTGATAGCTGTTAGCAAATATGTGCATGATTTTAGAAATCCTCAAAGTCCCCCTTTCTGACTAATAGAACCTCTTTTCTTTTCACAGATATACCATAAACTATTTTCTACACTGCTAGTGAATTAGAATATTAACATCAGCAAGACTTGCTTTCTTAGTATGGTGGAAACTATGAGTATAATTCTTTAGAAGCAATGATAGTGAAATACCTCCACATTTTTGTTTTTAAAGTTATTAAACTGCTCCATAACCCCTACTTTAACTTCATTATTAATGACAAAATGATGCACCCCGTGTTGTTTTAATAGGCTCTTTAGAAACTCAAAACCGTGATCTGTCAGTAATGCTCCAGGTTTTCATCCATCTTGCCTGAAAATAGAGTTAAAGGTTTGGGAACATTTCTTTACCTGACTTACCCTTTAGAACCAAATCCCAGACATATTTAGACAAAATGTCTATAACTATTAAAATGTACTTGTAACCCCTATTGTGCTCATAAAATTGTTGCATATCAACTAAATCAACCTGCCATTGAAAGTCACTGTAGTGCAACAATCTGGTGTCTTTTAAAATTGACCCTGGTTGGCCTATGTAATTTCTAACTATCCTGTTTGGGAAACTTTTAGTAACCTGTCTTCAGTGTGGCTTTATTCTCTTTTGGGGCCTCCTGAAAGAGTGGGTAAATACCTGTGAAGCTTCCAACTTCTCAAAGTGTAGAACACAACCCAGCAACAACAAAAATTCTTGGTATCTTGGTTTTTAGGTCAGTTCCTGGGGTACTAAATCAGAAAATTGCATTGAATAGATTGCATCAGCTCTGGCTTCTTAGTTATGGTTATGATCATGATTTTCTTTGGGCAAGCAGATGAAGAATGGTATGGCATATGTTCTGTATCTCAAGAACTAGAGCTGATGGGGGGGATGGGGACTGGTGCTATTATTATTAT